GGGCTTCCAAAGGTAGAAAGCCTGTGAAGTGTCAGTAGGGGCACTGAGTCTGAGGCCATATCAGGCCTCATTAGAACTGCATTTCTTCAGAGCACCATAATTCTAGCAGGCTGTCTAAGATTTAAGAATGGCCATCAAAGAAATCAACTAGTAACAAATTCTGGAGAGGCTGTAGGGAAAAAATAACACTTCTCCACTGTTAATGAGAGTATAGACTGGTACCACTTCATGGAAATCAGTGTGGAAATTCCTCAGAAAACTAGGATTAAAGGGCCAGCCAAATAGCTCAGCAGATTAAAGTGCCTGCAAGCAGGTGCAGGGGCCAGTGGTTCAATCCCCGGGCCTGCCACTCCGGCCCCACCTCTGAGGCATGCTGAGACAGCAATTGAGACTGGGCAAGGTGGTGCACTCCTGTAATCCCAGTCCTTGGGAGGCTGTAAACAGGCAGATCACTATGAATCTGATCTAGTAGTGAGACCCTGAACACCCTGTAGACCCTTCCCTAAAAAATATAAAAAGAAAGAAAGAAAGAAAGAAAGAAAGAAAGAAAGAAAGAAAGAAAGAAAGAAAGAAAGCCTAGGATTAGAAGTCTCATTTGAACCAGCCATTCCCCTACTCAGGAGTTTTCCAGAAGAACTGAAAACATCATACCACAGAGATATATGTGCACCCATGTTTATAGCAACACAATTTCTCATAGCTAAATCTTGGAAGCAACCCAAGTGTACATCACCTGAGGAATGGATTAAAAAAAGATGTGATATTTTTATACAATGGAGTGTCACACACATATAAAAAAGATAAATTGGAGGCTTTTATAGGTAAATGGATGCAACTAGAAACCACACTCATAAGGGAAATAAATCAGACCCTCACATGTAAACATCACATTGTCCCCCTAGTATAAGAACCTGAAAGAGTAAGTAAACTCTGAAAGGTACAGTAGATGTAGTAAAAGGGAAAGAAACTGCTCAAAAAGAATGAACAATTGGGATGAGAAAAAGGAGAAAAGAAAAAGAAACCTGGTTCCACCAAAGGAAGAAGAAGAAGAAGAAGAAGAAGAAGAAGAAGAAGAAGAAGAAGAAGA